TCCCATCATCAAAAACGAAACCAAAAATCACCCAAAAAAGCTAAAAATCAAACCTTGCAACAGCAGAAGTTCATCCAAGCCGAACACAGAACGGATTGGGTGAGATGGTTGAATGCTGAATATCCTGCGGGCTTGGGGTAGATGAGGGAAAGGAAGAACCTTTTAGAATGCGAAGTCAAAGAAAAACAAATGAGAAAAACAGGGTGTGGAGTGGGAAAGGGAGAGATTTTTCAATTTAAGAAAAAAAAAAAAAAAAAGGCAAAAACCCTTATTAAGCCCCTAAACTTATCCCAAATTAATATTTTAAGCCCTTAGACTAAACATGATGCAAACAAGCCTAAACTGTTGCAAATAAAACCTTCATGACTAAAGATACTAATGGCCCAAACAATTGGATTGACTCATTCTGATCCCTTCTACTTCATTTGTTTTAGATGTAGATTCAGAGGGATCCTGGGATGTCATCAAAATCTTGAAAATTCTAAATAAAAAGGGAAGATTATTAAAAAATAACTTTTTTGTATAATTTTTCTAAATAACTTTAAGTGTTATTTAATAATTAACTTTTTTCATTCAATTAAGATCTCGTAATATTATATATATTTATTTATAATATATAAAAATTGTATAAAAATATTATATAAAAAAGTTATCTCTATATCATTATTAAAAAAATAAAAAAAATGCACTTTTATCTACATTAGCACCTACATCACCACGTAATTATTACCAAACAAAGTTGATTCACATCAAACTGCCATTAGTTGTAGAGCACTTTTTTTGCACCAATCAAAAGTTAGACATACTTATTTGCATTGTTTTTAGTTTATGACCTCAAATGCTAATATATGATAAATTTATGAGTTTAAGAAGGGTATTTGCCAAAAATGAAAGTACATAGAAATGAAGAGAGAGAAAGTCCGGACCAGGAATGGAGGGCCTGGTTTGGCCAATGGGCAGCGGTCAAACCAACCATAGCCCGGATTTTATTAAAACAATTAATTATAAACTATTATCATTAATGTCATCATCTCAGCAACATAAATTGATTTTTTTATTTTTGTCTGGACTCTTTTACCCTCTGATATTTTACATTTTATATCAATGCCACCCCGTTACGAAAAGAGACTTCTTCGGTCGTTATCTGTCCCCCGTTTAAACTGGGTTTTATTTAGATTTTTTTTTTTGGATTATAAATGCGATTTCTTGTATGTAGGGTTATGTGAATATGTCTAATTAGAAATTATTTTTTTTATAAAAATAATAATGTACATATGTATAATTAACGTTGTTAGTAGTTCATGACTTTTCCCAAGTACTATTGTTGAGTACGGAATTGTTTTGTTTTGTTTAGTGTTGTGTTTTATTTTTATCTTTCATAAAAAATTATTAAATGACTAAACAAGGCTTTATAGGATTAAAATGATAATGCTTATTGAACAAGGCTTGTTTTGTTCTGCTCATTGCTATATTTTATTTTTCATCCTTTTAAAATATAATAAATAATAACTAAGATTTTATATGATTAAAATAATATAATTTATATAAAAAAAATATTCGTATAAAGTGAACTAACATATATTAGTCATAATGAAATTGAGATTTAAAATATCATAATTTTAAATTAGAACTAAATTATAGCATAAAAATATATTTTCATAACTCAAACTTCAAAATAAATTTACTTGCCTTAGTCTTGTTTTAGTAAAAAAAATCAATCTTGTTTTAATAAGAAAAATAAAAAAGCATAAACTTTTATGATATTAAAACTGGCAAGTTTTATTTGTTATAAATTAACTAAATGATAAGAACACTAAATAATTCTAACTAATGTTATAATTTAATTAAGTACATGATTTTAAATACCCTAAATTAAATATATATCATATAAATTTTGAAGAAAGATTAAGCATTAAGCTTAACTACTATTAATCAACAAGAAGAAAACTACAGCTTTTACCTGTCTAGTATTAAAAAAAACCATGGAGAAACATTTCCAACTTGCTAAAATCAACTAATTAGGATGAAAATGAAAATATAATTGAAGAACAAATAAAGTTTTCTTTAACAAAAGAAAAAAATTTTAAAAAAAATATTGTTTGTAATGATTGACGACGGAGGGTGTAACTAACGATGGTGGGAAGTAAATTCTCAAAGACCGATGACTAAGAATGTCATTTCACGCAAAACCTCGATTTTCAACGAAGAACGCCTCGATTGACGTGACAGCTCAGTCAAATTTTTGAAAAATTTGTTTTTTAAAGCAAGTTTCTGGTGGTGGTCAAAGAGACCCATCGAGATTGGTCTTTGACTCTCAATCTCAGCCGTCCGATCGTACTGTGGGGAGAACATCGACGGCCATTTGCATTTTCTAAAAAAGATGGCCGGGCCCACTGACATCAACAAAGTTTTGTCCCGTGGTGTGCTTGACACGCGCCTTTTTAAACCAAGTTGGCAAAGCGGGTCCCACCGAAGTACCCCCAGTTTCGGTGAAAACGCTGGTTTGCGATCGTTTATCTGAGGCCCAGGCCCAATTTTGATCAGATCAGATCTACTACAACGGATGTGGGCTCAATTTTGGGCAACATTGTCCATTTGTCCTTGTATTCTTTTTTTTTTTTAAAAATAGAATGGAACAAATGGTTCAATTTATGGAGGGTTAATTTATGGAGGGAAAAGGGATGAAAAGAGATATTATACAGATATGAACTCTCAACAATAGATGGGAAGACCTTTTACATTTAGAGAGAATTAACCAATGGTTCTTAAGGCCTTTCTCTTGTAACATAGCTTTCTTGTGATTATTATTATTTTTTTTTACCAAAACTTAGTTTTTTTTTTGTTTCCTACCCGGTATCCGGGCTTCGCCCCAATTAATCCGGATCGATCCACGTCGCGCACCTAAAAATGGTGGATGAATCTCCCAATGAAGGCTACTACATACACAAGGTCTCGAACTCGAGACCTTACTTAAGTTGGAACAAACCATTTACCACTTGATCCAACCCCTCATTGGTACCAAAACTTAGTTGGGGTTATAAAAGTTTAAACTTTTGATTTTAAAGGTTTTTCTCTTTTTTAAGAATCTTAAAGTTTTTTTTTATTATACTTATTGTGCACAAGTTTCATCCATAAATATAAAGATTTAAGCTGGATTTTTTAAATGCAAGTCTTTGTTATAGAGAAATTCGAGAAAAGGAAAGACTATCTACGTCTTATAGCTCATCATCAAATTTACAAAGAGAAATTTGAGAAAAAAAAAAAAAAGAGACTATCTTCATCTTATAGCTCATTTATCAAATTTACCTAAAAGACATTACATTGAGAAATTTTAGCCTACCCACTTTTTAGTACTCACTAGGATTTTGATTTTCTGAAGCTTAATCAATGTATATATATATATATATATATAAAGATTACTATACATGTATTTGGAATTATTGATCTACAATAGAACTATCAAATATTTGTTTTCTCGGTACATAGAAAAAACCATTTACTAAGTGAAGTGAACTAACCTCAATATAAGAGTAAGTATTAAAATTAAAAAAAAAAAAAGAAAAAAAAGAAAAAAAAACACACACACATAAAGATGGTATTTCACAGATGGCAAGAGTCAGAATATGAAACCTAAATGATGCAAAACCCTTGTCTTACCACTTGATCCACTTGTACAAGATTTCACTGGCAAACTTGAATGCCGCGCTGACATACCGTGAAATGGAGGCACTCTCAAACTTCATGTAGTTACCTTGATGAAAAGTAGCCCAGCAAACAGCAGCCGCAAGACACCCACCCGTCAAAACTAGCCAACAGGGACTGATTTCTTCAGTTTTCTGTCTCATGTACAATAACAAGAGAATCAGCCAAAAAACAGTATGGGATAGCGATAGTCCATCTGTTTCAATTTATCTCTCTATATAACTAATTCTGTGTAATTTATCTGTATAATATATATAAAAAAAAGTATTATACAATTTAGTAATTGAACTGCACAATATAAATTGAATAAAAATGGGCTCATTAATATTAGAGGTTGGTGACTTGCTACTT